ACCTGCCAGCCACCCTCCATGTCTCAAACAAACTGTTTACGCCCTTGTTAACATGGGGATTAAACTTGCGACAACAAGGGGGGGGGGGGAGGGGAAACCCGCTGTATTATTACTGAATTGGGCGTATCACCTCATGAAACATGTAGTGGGGCAGGCGTCGCGTTGTTTACATGGTCCAGCCCCCCTGCTGCCTGTCAGGTTTTTGTCATCAGCACAATAACAATGGACACTCCCCCCTGCCTCGACCCCCCTCGCCCCCCGGAGCACTGTTTCCCATCATCTGATCACCACTCACTAGGGCTTCTTTATGTTGCTGGAATTTTCAAAATGATCACGTTTCAAAAAAAAAATTTAATAAATTTGCCTTTTTTTTTGTTTTAAACCAGGTGTAATCACACTTGAATTCAACGCATAAATGAATCGAATTTTTAAATAAACGTGGATCGTGGGGTGGGGGGAGGCAAATACAAAAGTTTGCGTTGTGAAGTTGAGATCTCGTTGCTATTGTCAGATATAGTACACATAGATGAATAAAGATGGCCGATGCTTGGTTGAGGGGTTCAATGATCAATGAGTGAAGCCTATGAAGACGTAAGTAATTTTAGGGTGCGGGTATTAGTAAGGGTTTAATATTTATATATTTGCGTGTAAATAGGGTTTAGGAGATGCATGAGTCAATCGAGTAAGGGTTAAGGTAAGTGTGGAATAATACATGTGTGAGGGCCCATGGTTAGAATTTAACAATAAAAGCATGAGTAGATAGATTAGTATTCGGTGACTTGGTTTTGGGGGGAAATATGTATGCACATAGCAGCACTACAAGGAGCCACCTGGACACAGAACAGAGAGCCACCTGGACACGGAAAGAGAGCCACATGGACACTGGACAGAGAGCCACGTGGACACTGGACAGAGAGCCACATGGACACTGGACAGAGAGCCACATGGGCACTGGACAGAGAGCCACATGGGCACTGGACAGAGAGCCACATGGGCACTGGACAGAGAGCCACATGGGCACTGGACAGAGAGCCACATGGACACTGGACACATAGCAATCTGGACACAGAGCAGAGAGCGACATGGACAAAGATTTTTATCTTTTTTACGTTTGCGTTTGTTAGTCAGCACTTCATAAATTATCCATCTTTTTTTTTCTTTTTTTTTGTGTGGTCATTCGCGTGTCCTCCAATGCCCACCACCCCCCCCCCTCTCGAGGCTGATCCGAGTGTTTAAAACTACCCGAGTTCTTTGTAATCTTTGTATCCCTGTAACTACTGTATTGTCTCGCCGAGTCGCTTATTTGTTGTATCCTTCCTTTGTTCCACCCACCCCCCCCCCCCCCTCTCGAGGCTGATCCGAGTGTTTAAAACTACCCGAGTTCTTTGTAATCTTTGTATCCCTGTAACTACTGTATTGTCTCGCCGAGTCGCTTATTTGTTGTATCCTTCCTTTGTTCCCCTCCTCCCACACCCCCCTCCCTTCCATTTTTTTTTCAAGCGCGTCAAGCGATGCGCGAAGAACGCTGAAAGCTTTTTAACACTTTTTAATGGTCTTTAGCCGCGTTAAATATTTGATGCAAAAGACACCGTTCGACAGCGCATCCGTTTAGACCAATGCCGCAGAAAATGCGCTCACATTTCAGCTCAATTGTAGCGTTCCAATTTTTAAACTCGGCGGTTCTCAACACGATTCCAGGAGGGTCTGAGTTAAACTCGGAAGTCCATCCATCCTCGTGGCACTACAGCCCCACGTAGGGATTTGGCCCAGCCTCGCCACCTCCTTTCCACTCAGACCTAAACTGATGATTTTTTTTTCCGTGCCTGGCTTCCCAGCTGCTGTAGATCTTTGTCCACATCGTCCGTCCATTCCTTTGGCGCTACAGCCCCACGTAGGGATTTGGCCCAGCCTCGCCACCTCCTTTCCACTCAGACCTGGACTGATGCTTTTCTTTTCCGTGCCTGGCTTCCCAGCTGCTGTAGATCTTTGTCCACATCGTCTTTCCATCTAAGCCAGGGGCAGATTTAAATCAAACGCAAAGGGTCTTTAGTCTCTTTAGTTTTAGAAAATGGATATTAACAAAGCGGTTATTGTACATGTGAGTCTATGATTCTAATGACGTATAGCTACAGTTATTTCTACCTGTGGGGGCAAGTTTCTTTTTTATGCCCCCCCCCCACGTTTAAGCCAAAGGTGAATTCTGCAGTTGGCCGAAAATGCCGCCCCTTATTATAAAGTTTTCAAAAAATGTGCCCCTCCCCCCCTTTTTTTCCCGCGTTCCTACGCCAGTGATCTGATTGAACGAGAAAATATAAATATATATATTATATATATTAAGGTTTGTTGAGGGTCACAAATATTTGAGAACCTCTAAATGCTGAGGGTGTCAGGAAGTTGAGGCGGGAGGTGAGTTAATTGTAAGCGATTGAAATGAGCATGAGAGTCGACTACGTGAATATAATCGAGTCCATTTTATACAACACAAGAAAACAGAACAAACAAAAAACAAAAAAAAAACAATAACAAAACAACAAAAGCAAGCAACAAGAATAGGAAATCGATACTTTGATATTTCATCAACGACGACACGGGGGTTGGGTGTTGTAACCGACTCTCGCGTGAGCCTCGTGAATAATCGCGCGTTTACAGAGTGCCGTCCATTATTGATGTGTTGTAAGCCGGTGACTTGATTTTCTGCTTTATCGTCTCGGCGATTATGTTCAATTGTCGTTGAGAATTGGACACTTTTGTTGAGGTGGGGTGAAGGGGTATAGTGGTAAAGTGGTGGGTGTTGGGGGGGGGGGAAGGTTGAATAAAGTATATTTTGAATTATGAAATAAGGGCGAAAGAAGGATAGAAAACTAGAGGGAGAGAGATTGAAAGAGAGAGAGAGAGAGAGAGAGAGAGAGAGAGATTGAGAGAGAGTGTGTGAAAGAGGACGAGTGTTTGGATGAGAGAGAATGAGTGATTGGTGAGAAAGTGAGATTCTGTGTGATGTAGTGAGTGACCGAGAGAGAAGGAGAGAGAGAGCGAGAGAGAGAGAGAGAGAAAGAGAGAGATGGGAGAAGATACACAGAGAACTTGACAAAGTGAGTAAACTATTTGTCCGTACACTGGGAAAATCTTTGATAGCTGCCACGGAGGATCAGATAAATGAATGAAACAAAGAGAAGACGGAACTCACGCGAAATTTGTATTTCAAAACATGAACAGGTTGAGCCACCACTATCAAAAGCTAGAGCCGCCACTGTCAACAGCTAGAGCCGCCACTGTCAACAGCTAGAGCCGCCACTATCAAAAGCTAGAGCCGCCACTGTCAACAGCTAGAGCCGCCACTATCAAAAGCTAGAGCCACCACTGTCAACAGCTAGAGCTGCCACTGTCAACACCTAGAGCTGCCACTGTTAACAGCTAGAGCCACCAATGTTTAAAAACTAGAGCCGACATTGTTGAATAAGAGAGCGGCTACTGTTAACATTTAAAGCCGTCACTGTTAACAAAGACAAATAATAAAGCTACTTTCCCTGTTTCCCAATTAAATATCATCACACAGGTCAATTAAATATCATCCAACAGGTCAATTTAATATCATCCAACAGGTCAATTTAATATCATCCAACAGGTCAATTAAATATCATCCAACAGGTCAATTTAATATCATCACACAGGTCAATTTAATATCATCCAACAGGTCAATTAAATATCATCCAACAGGTCAATTTAATATCATCCAACAGGTCAATTTAATATCATCCAACAGGTCAATTAAATATCATCCAACAGGTCAATTAAATATCATCCAACAGGTCAATTTAATATCATCACACAGGTCAATTTAATATCATCCAACAGGTCAATTAAATATCATCGAACAGGTCCATCAACTGGTTACCGGAAATTTGATCGAAAGAAATTTAGTTGACGGTAAATTGATCGACGGAAATTAGGCCGAATCTTTTTTTTCAGTTCACGCGCTAAAATTATCGTCAAATTTCTTTTTGAACGCACCATACTATATGGCAAAACAAAATAATATGTTCAAAAAGAAATTTGAAGCAACATTTTAACGTAAAAACTGAAAAAATGATTCGACCAAATTTGCGTTCGATCAAATCCCCGTCGATCAATTTACCGTCGACGAAATTTCTTTAGATCACATTTCCGGATACGCCGTCGACTATCATGCAATGGGGCAATTAAATATCTTCACGGGGTTCCGATGAGATTATGATAATTTCTTTTTCTTATGCTTATAACCATTCATAAAATTATTGCTATAACAGAAGTAATAATAATAAAATTACTTCTATCCTCTTCAGACCGATCCCTATCCACCCACCACGCCATCCTGGTCTGGATTACAGAATCCCCATCCAAGTTCACACCGAAAAGTCCGACAAGCCAAAACCCTCGCTTTGGAACCCGGCCCTCGACCTGAGCCCGCCCTCGAAGAATCCCTCAAACAAGGATGACACCAAGACCCCCAGGGGCAGGAAGTCGACGCTCGCCTCTGCTGGTTCGGACATTTCCGATCCGCCATCTCACAATTCGCTTAACTCTTCGTCGTTGAAAAGTCCAGCCATGCCGACATCGACGCAGGCACCCAATGCCACCGTGCAGAAGCATCCCACTCCCCTTGTGAGTAAAGCGCCCCAGGTCATCAGGCCGACTTTGTACGAGCAGCTGAATCGCCAGATGCCCGCCGGCATGGACATGTTGACGTCTAAAGGTGCTTTCTTTTCAAGTTTATCCGGCAACCAAGGGGTGCTGCATCCCCATCCCGGCCACCTCACCCACCCCTCTCACGCGACCACCCACCCTCTGCTTTTATTAGACAGACACATGTCTATCCAGAACGCTTTAGCTATAGCGCAGTCGAGGTCAGTGATGGAGCGCTTGTCCGCTGGCCACCCCCAACTTCCCGTGAGGGGGGCGGACCACACCCACCCACAGCCCCACCAGCCACCGCATCAGCAGGCACCGCGGCACCAACCGCAGCAAACCTCGGCGCACCAGGTGCCCTCGCACGCGCACCAGCCGCCGCTAGCGGAGAGGCCGATGGCGCTGCAGAACGTGCTAGCCCTCGCCCAGTCTCGAGCTCTGATGGAACGCGTCGGATCTGGCCCCATGCTCTCGCCGATCCTCTCCATGGACAATCCCGCGAACCACAGCTACGGCAGGAAGCTGTTCCCGTGCCCGCAGTGCCGCTACACGACGGACAGGCGCAATAACCTCAAACGACACATGCTCACGATGCACCAGACCAGCTCGAAAATGCTCGAGTGCTGCGGCATCCTCTTCAGCACGAAGGCGTCCCTGCGGGAACACGCCGTGATATTCCACTACCACGGCTACACCTGCTATTTCTGCGGGCGCCGGTTCTGCAGGAAGGCCCTGCTGAAGAGACACTTGTCCGTCCACAACGGGCAGAAGGACTTCGTCTGCAACGTCTGCGACTACGCCACGTCGCACAAGAGCAACCTCGAGCGCCACAGGAAGGTCCACTCCCGCCAGGACGACGGGAAGGACGGCGACGGGGAGCGTCGTTACCATGACGACGACGACGACGCGCGGCACTACCACGACGACATCAAGTCGAACGGGAGCGAGGCCGTGAGTCATGACGACGTGAGCAGCGACGAGCTGTCGGTGTGCTCAGACTTTGATGACGACATCGACGTTGAAATTAACGTGCATAGCGACTAGACGAGACGGTGAATCGAATGCTTCTGGCTCGTTCTACTTCATAGACAGCGGTGAGAACATTGCATAAAAACAACCAATACATATCTTGTCATGCACAAAAATCCATTACCCTTTGGCAATAATTGTGAAATACCACCATCACTATTGACTCGTACGATTAAGTGGATAACCGCACAGTCTAAGTAGAGGAGTGGATATTTTTTTTTTTTTTTTGCGCTTTTAGAAGTATCAGAATTGGCATGGGTTGGGGGGGGGGGGGAGGGGGGTTAGAGGTGGTTAGGGAACAGCCGGTGACTAACATGTCTTCATACGATGTGTTATGATACACAAATTGACAAACATTATCTTTGCGTAATGTTAGGATACAAAAAGAAACACGTTTGAATGCGGGGCCCGACTTTCAGAGCTGGCTCGTCCGAGGGAGCTCTGCAGCCGAACTTGTGTGTCATTCCTGAGAATCATTCAACTCGAGGCCACAGAGGTCAGAGGTCAGAGGTCAGAGCCCAGCCCAATTCGAAACAATTTGACTTAAATCGGTAATTATGTGAATGACCAAAATGGCATGGTTGAAGCTCGTGAGGTCCGTGCACATCATTCAGTGCGGTGATGAGGGTGAGCAGACGAGACTGGAGTTGAGCAGACGTCGGTCTCACTTGGCGCCAATGGGACGGCGGGAGCAGTGTGGGAGCAGGGCGGGAGCAGGGCGGGAGCAGTGTGGGAGCAGTGTTGGAGCAGTGTGGGAGCAGGGCGGTGGCGCCTCGCTTCGGATCAAGGGAGAACATTGGTAAAACACGTGTTTTGTGTTTTGAGAACATCTACACTGACTTGATGACGTAGATGATTTCCCGCATATAGTTTTGACTTGACAAGTATAGTGTCATACTTGTTGTGAAATCTTTGATAACTTATTTGAGAATGTTCATCTTATTTGAGAATGTTCATCTTATTTGAGAATGTTCATCTTATTTGAGAATGTTCATCTTATTTGAAAATGTTCATCTTATTTGAGAATGTTCATCTTATTTGAGAATGTTCATCTTATTTGAAAATGTTCATCTTGCGCACCGAGGATTTTTTCTTCTTCATCTATTTTGGTGTGAATTAATGAAGGAACACGTGTGGTCAGTAGAGAGCAGTCGGAGAGTGGTCAGACGAGAATGGCTGGACACTGGTCAGCGGGAACAATATTTACACACATAGGACGATCTTTAAGATGTCAAGATATACATTATTTAATTGTTTACTATTTGCTTTATTTTTTTTATATATCTAAAGGACAATAGGTAATAAATTATGAGGCAGGTTTGAGACAGTTACTTTACGACATTTGAGAACTGCGATAAGTTCATAATAATCCATCAAATGAATTAAGAATGTCTGTGTCACTGTGTCAGAAAAGTCTACAGTGGGAAAGAATTGTCCGTTTCAAGTATTTTATTAACAATTATTTATCGAGATGGTAAAAATTACCCCCCCCCCCCCAATAATATAATAACAACCACTCATAGCCCAGACCTTCAACATCCCAACGTGGCAAATGCGATTTGGGGGGGGGGGGGCAACAGAATATAACAAAAAGTAGACTTTAGAAGACAAAAAATATTAATAATATTTTAATTTGTTAATACATTTATATTTTAATGATGTTTTGATTATCCATTTGTTGTTTGGGAACAACTCGAGTAGCCGATGAGTGTGAAACATCCAACTGTTACGAAGGTAAAACTGACGCTCGCAGCCCACCTGGCCACGAAACGTGAGTCACGTCACTCTATAATGTTCGTGTCACGTGACTGTGGACGTCGATGTATTATTTATTTTCATCGGCATCGTCATTCCAGGACGTCTATTTGATCTGTCCACGTAAGATGTATGCCATCTCTCATTGACGTATACACATCTGTCAGTATACACATCTGTCAGTATACACATCTGTCAGTATACACATCCGTCAGTTAACTCAAGAAGTCCATGGTCTCTACCATATAAATGTACACTTGTCCATGTACGCTTGTTCGTCTAACACGGGCATGTCGCTGTGATGTATAGTTTGCCAGTACACATTCTGATTTATACCCATGAATAACAACAAAGTCCATAAAGATGTATGTTGCTCTAGTGTCCAGTGTCCATCCCAACTTTGCACATATCTCACTTCGCAATCGTAAACAAATCGACAATATATCTTTAAAACGTGACTTATCCAAACCAAAATGTTTTATTTTTGTGTTTATTTTAACCCCTAGAAACATATTGGTGTATTCCCAAGATGTCCATTTATTTGTACACTTAGACGCTGAGGTTATGTGTATAAAGATGTTTATTACTGGTCATTACATGAATAAAATAGATTAAAATGTTATGATAATTTATTTTTATTTACATGTTCTATAAATTGTTGAAATGTGGGCGTGAGGAATCCATTAAATTAAACGCAATAAAATTTGGTGGAACATGATGTGTTATTGGCAGAACATGAGGTGTTCTTGGCGGAACATGAGGTGTTCTTGGTGGAACATGAGGTGTTCTTGGAAAAAATTGACCAGACCTAAGGAGGTGTGACCGATTTCATTTTTTATTTTTATTTTTGTGTTTTCAGTATTACAAAATTCATCAATTTTAAATCAATCAAAAGGCACACGCGCCTATAGGCTATCAACATTGGAAAACTAGACTGGAGACGAACATGTTCTGTGTATAGCAATTAAGTGGGACACTAGCTTCTGTGTATAACAATTAAGTGGGACATTAGCTTCTGTGTATACCATATAGTTAAGTGAGACATTATCTTCTGTGTTAAGTGAGGCTCTAGCTTCTGTGTATAACAGTTAAGTGGGACACTAGCTTCTGTGTATAACAGTTAAGTGGGGCATTATCTTTTGTGTTATGTGGGACACTAGCTTCTGTGTATAACAGTTAAGTGGGGCAATAGCTTCTGTGTATAACAGTTAAGTGGGGCAATAGCTTCTGTGTATACCATGTAAGCTAAGTGGGACACTGTAAAACATATAGTTAAGTGGGGCATAGTGTAACAGTTAAGTGAGGCATTGTATACTAGCTAAGTGCGGCATAATCTTCTGTGTTTAATAGATAATTAATTGGGGCATTGTACAACAGATAGCTACTTGGGGCATTGGCTTCTTCCCACCATTTCCCCCTGTCAACTCGTGGGACCTGATAACGGAAAGTCAAACATTGACATGAAAGTTGTCCCGTGATTGCCTCCTGTCCATGAAAACACGTTTCTTCGGGGAGATTCTGGCGTTCTTGTTTGGCAAAGTAGCTGTCAAAGGCCATTGCGAAAAAAAAAATTAATTAATAATTAAAAAAAAAAAATTAAAAAAAAATTGAAATCTTAACTACAACTCAAGCCGCCTTAGGTGATCGAAAATGTGAAATGCTCGGTTTCAACTTGTGAGAAGGTGTGAAGGTATCATCACACTATTCTAATGACCAACTATCCTGATTTCATCCCCTGGAAATTGCTTTGGTCTAATGACATGAGATTTATCAGAAAATAATGATTCCCGAAATGGCTAAACCTTAGTGTCCAATAAACTCTGTCGGTGACTACAATAGGGATGCCTAGACTCTACGTCCCCAATAGAATCTATTGGGATGCTTATCACATGTTTATTTTTTAAAAAGGCTGTGTATACCCACCTACCCCCCCCCCCCCCCTCCTTTTAAAAAAAATTTTTTTTGTTGTTTTTTTTCCCCTTTCCGGGAAAGGGGAAAAAAAAAAAAAAAAATATTTTTTTTTTTTAAAAAGGTTTTTTATACCCCCCCCCCCCCCCCCCCCCCATCCTTTTAAAAAAAATTTGTTTTGTTGTTGTTTATCCCATTTCCGGGAAATGGGAAAGAAAAGAAAAAAATGATTTTTTTTCTTTAATGACTTTTAAGTGCGGTCATTTCTCTTGTACTCACCTACAAGCCATGGGGGCTTAAACCAGTCAAGCGATCCGGTGACATTGGGGGTATTGGTGGGTTCTAGGGGGGGGGGGAGCTGGTGGTGTTCTCGGCGGAAGCCGGTGATGTTCTCGGCGGAAGCCGGTGGTTTCTAGGTGGAAGGTGGTGGTGTTCTCGGCGGAAGCCGGTGGTTTCTAGGTGGAAGGTGGTGGTGCTCTCGTTAAGAGACAGTGGTTTTGTCAGTGGAAGCTTGTGTTCCCCGACGCGAGAGCTCCGATACCTCGTACCGAGAAGAGTGAGACATCGAACCTGTACCGACAAGAAGGGGGATTCGATAGCCGCCATCAAGAGTGTTATATTAAAGCAGGCACTACCGAAACGAACTATTTCTAAAAATGAAATGAACTATTTCTAAAACGTGCGCTGTCGACAGCGAGTAAGAGCGTCACTGGTGTATGAAGAGCTGGTTGAACCTTCGCTCCACCCTGGGTGGCACTTTTGTGTGTGGGGGGGGGGGGTTGGCATTTTGATATTTTTCAAATATTTGTTTGATTTTTATTTTGTAAAAATTGTGAGGGGTTTTCGTGAAAAAAAAGGGGGGGGGGGATAAAAAATTCAGGACCACCTCCGGGGTCCCAAAGTCCAGTTACTTCTCCGATTACTAATATTACTATAAGAAAATCAAAATGGGAAATCATTTCAGCTCATTACAGAAGCAGACGATAATCAAATTATTGAATTTGAAGGGATTGAGTCGAACCAATAGAGCCGGCAGACATGGAGATATTCATCAAATGAATGATGATGACCTTTTTTTTTAGACGGCCCAGCTGTTGGTAGACGGCCCAGCTGTTGGTAGAAGGCCCAGCTGTTGGTAGAAGGCCCAGCTGTTG